GATGTGCTGTGACCTGGGCATCCTGGGCCCGGTTTCCCTGCCTGTGTTCGTTTCCTCCACGGACGCTGCCTGCTCCCCTGTACTTGGCTGTGACCTTTGGGGATTAGTCCCGTCAGCCACACAGACTGCCTCCTGCTTTAGCAGTGACAGCATGTTCCCGTGTCCTTTTTAACGGCTGTGTCATAACTCATGTACCCAGTCACCCGAGGGGGGATGTCTCATCTTCTGTTCCAAAGGACACGCACTTTGTGCCCTCACGTGTTACTGGAGCCTCTGGGGGGAGCAGGGTTGCCCGGGGATGGATCAGTCATGTAAACAGCTTGGAGGGTCACTGGGAAAGCCCGCTTGGGATTTGTCCAGCACGTCCTGTCCCCTCTTGGCAGAAGGAATGCTCCTGGGTGTGCGGGAGCGGGACGTGCACGTGGCAGGCTGTGTTCTCAAGCTAAAACCGGCGCCGCGCTCACGTGTGTGCATCCAGGTGTACAAAACCCTGCGGGCCGCCGTGGCCACCATGTACAGGACCGAAGGCCCCCTGGTCTTCTACAAAGGCCTGAACCCCACCTTGATCGCCATCTTCCCCTACGCCGGCTTCCAGTTCTCCTTCTACAACTCCCTGAAGCACGTGTACGAGTGGGTCACGCCAGCCGAAGGAAAGAAAAACGGTGAGACAGCCGCACGGGAAAGGAGCTAGGTCTCCCTTCACCCCACTCCCAAGACATCACGTCTCCTTCTGCATCGCGTGGGAAATAGATTCCCGTCAGAGCGTAGACACCACCGGGCGCTGAGCCCACTCTGCCATGCGGCCGCTCACACCCATCCCTGGCACCAGCGACGTTTCCAACTACCGCTCGTGGCTTTCCTTTCGGTGAGAGGTCCACCTTGCGGACTGCCTGCGAGGGGCTGTGTGTTCTGCTTGGTTTTGTTCTGGAAGGATGTGCAGGAGGAGGGACAGCCTGTTCCCCTTGAGCCTGAGCTGAGTGACATGCCAGAGCCCAAGGCCCTCACGGCCTCCAGCGGCGGAGGCAGAGCACCAGTGACTCTCACCCGTGCTGCCACCAGCTGTCCCACCTGCGGTCCCGTGTCGTTCTTGCCAGAAGTGGCTGTGTCTGGCTCTGTTTCCTGGATTAAATTCCTCGGAGAGCAAGAATGGCTTGTGGGTTTTTGTTTTACGTGGAGGACAGAGTTCATGACCTTGAACTTATCTACCCGCAATTGCATTTTCCTCATTTCCCCCCTCATTCTCACTCCTCTGGTTCAGGGAACCTCAAAAACCTGCTCTGTGGCAGTGGAGCCGGAGTCATCAGCAAGACCCTGACGTATCCCCTGGACCTCGTCAAGAAGCGGCTGCAGGTCGGAGGGTTCGAGCAGGCCCGCGCCAGCTTCGGCCAGGTGAGCTGTCACCTGCCCACAGCTCTGATCCTGCCCTGGGGTGGGAGGGGCCCCGGGGGGAGAAGGGCAGGGCAGAGAGGGAAGCTGAGTTCCAAACGAACACCAGGCCTGAGCTTGGACTTGGTTGTTCATGAGGTCACTGCTTGGTCATCGTCATCGGGAGTTACTGGAGTCTATGCGGGGAGCAAGGTCGCCTGGAGAAGGGGGTCCAGAGCTCTCACTGGGTCCTTAAGAATCAGAACCAGCGGGAGCCGCCTGGACAGGTGGAGCTCGGTCCAGCGCTGAGTTCCAGGCACTTCAACTTGGAAGAGAAAGAATGGGGTTAACTTTTCCTCTGTCTCTTTTGCACCCATCCCTTCACCCAGCACGCCTGTGTTGGGAGCCACGATGTGCTCGGCGTTGTGCTGGCAAAAGGACAGAGCCACGTCCGTGTTGTATCCCCGCCCCTCACCCGGAGCTACCTCCCTCTCCCCAGGTTCGGAGCTACCAGGGCCTCCTGGACTGCGCCAGGCAGGTGCTGCGGGAGGAAGGCGTGCCAGGCTTCTTCAAGGGCCTGTCCCCCAGCCTGCTGAAGGCTGCCCTCTCCACCGGCCTCGTGTTCTTCTGGTACGAGTTCTTCTGTAACCTCTTCCACCGCGTGAAGGCGGACAGCTAGCCTTGGGGCCGGAAGGTGGCCTGAGGTCTCTCCCCGAGCGACCTCCTGAAGTAAGACTTGATCTGCCATCTCTGCTGCACTGAGAGGCGCCGCCTGGTCCACCCTGCGGCCAGCTGTCCGGAGCATGACGAGCACCGGGAGGCTGCAGCCTCGACCCCACCAGCTTGGAGGCCACCAGGAGGGCAAGGGCTCTCTCCCTTGGGACCCGGGGAGGACTGAGGATGTGGTGGGATCCCAGCCGCTCCAGTCAAGGAGCCTGAAGTCTCCCTCCGTCTAGCCCGCAGCCTAAGGCAGGTGGGGACCCTTTTTCGTGCCAGGGGCCATTTGGATATTTATAACATCATTCGCTGGCCATTCAAAATTACCATCTTAAACATTAGCCTGCTGTATTTGGTCAGACATTTAACTAACTCGCCCCTGGTGCCTTGGCAGGGCCAGACCAAATGATTTCTTGGGCCTCATACCTTTCCCACCCCTGGTCTAAGGGGAGCAGCTGCCTGCACTTAGCCCGTCTGCCTCCAGACTCTCCGGACCCTGGGTGGGGCCACAGCCTAGATTGACGCTGGGACTTGCCAGAGACAGGGGTCCGGTCCCCACACCTGGGCTCTGGTTCCCGCCAACTTGCTTAATAGACACTAAGGCTAAAGGCACATTCCTTACCTTCCCCCCCACCTTCTCTCCCCAGTCACACCTCCCCTGGACACCAGCTGTGCCGGCCATCCCCAAATTCCATTTTCTCAGGAGTTGCGGGGCTCAGGCAGCTTGGCTTCTAGTTCTGGGAGAGGAATCCAAGCTGAATTGGTCACTTTCTGACAAGCTCCTCCCCCCGCCCCCCCCAGGACCCCCCACAGCAGGGGCTCTGGGGGAAGGCAGATACTGCAGCCCTGCAGGAAGTGGGGGCTGTGCTGAGGGGATGGGGTGGGTAAAGGCAGCCGCTCCTCCTTGGGGCCGGGCAGCCCTCCTGGGTGGCAGGAGCACACAGCTGGGCCGGTTGCTGAGCATGTGGCCGGGTGTCTCCTCTGTGACCCCAGAAGGGCCCCGCTCTGACACAGCCCAGTGAATGGGGTGGCAGAGGGAAGAGGTAGGGCAGACAGCCTGGTGAGGGTGCAGTAGGTGCCCAGGGGAGATGCGCATAGGAACCCAGTCCATCCATCTAGGCATGGGGAGAAACGTGGAGAAACTTCAGTTTCGGGGGTGGGGGGTTGAGAAGAAAATCTACGGAACACAGCCACCTCTCATCCAGATCTCCCAGCTCCGAGGGGCACTGGACCTGTGGGTGGGCTCTGCACTGGGACCCAGGGTCCCACCTGCCTCCTCCCCTCTGGGCTCCAGCTCCAGGCCACTCTGACTCATGAAGGCGCCAGCTGGGAGCAGGCCTGGGGTCTCCCCCCCACCCCCCCAACCTGGGCCCCTTCTCTCCTTGTTGCTATTTCATGTCTTGGCTGGGGCTTTGCCTGCTCTTGGCTGCAGATTATGAAGGTCCAGGCTGTGGCTGGAGGGCACTCCGACACCCACAGGGGTTTTGGCACTTAAGTCCTGGGCTTGGAGCTGCGGGGAGGTAGCTGCCTGAATGTATTTTCTACAAAAGTTCATTGAAGTAAACTATTTTCTTCACCACTCCTGCTCACGGTGCCTTTGCTGCAGCTGAGGGCTCGCTTCCTCACACATTTTCTGGTGACAGCTTCGGCCTCTCCTACCAGGAGGTGAGGACTCTGGCACCAGGAGGCCGCCATCCACGCTTCTTGTCTAAGCCAAGGGGACAGGCAGTTCTTTGCGGCCACCTGTGTGCCCTTCTGCAACCCAGGGCGGACCTCAGGGATGGCCCGGGTCTCTGCCGGCCACAGCCAAGGAAGACGCAGCCAGGGGCTTGCTCAACTTCAGAGTCACCCCAACACCTCGGGGTTGCGAGTTGGCACCGAGGGGGATCATTTCCCCTTGATTTTCAACTTTACCTGTAACGTCTGTATCTGGAGTAGGAGAGGGGCAGTGGAATTTGATCCAGCCCTTACGCCCCTGCCCCCCTTCTCCTAACTTGGGGGGTGGAGGGAAACGCGGCGGGTGAAGCCCTACCCCTCAACCATCTCTGCCCTTCCCCCTGGCTCCCTCCGGCCGCCCGGTTAGGGCCACGCCCCCCGCAGCCCTTCCCACGCCGAGCGGTCTCGCGGCGGCTCCTGACCCGGTTTTCACCTGAGCCCTGGCGTGGGGCATCGCTTGAGACCCAGGGCTTCATGCGGGCGGAGCGGCAGGT